ACTGATCATGAAGCGTAAGCCTATCCTTCAATGTCACACGAGCTGCGCTTAGCATATTGTCAATTTTTGGGTCAACATACGCCTGTAAAATTGTGTTTTTCATCATAAAACACGTGAAATCAAAGCATTGATCTGTTCTGAATGTGAAAGAATTGCGTCTGTTGGCTGCAACGACATACAAGCCAAATTCAAAGAGGATTGTTTAATCTAATCTTAGGGAATATTAAAAGTCCTACCAATTAGCATGCATAACAATAAATGGCTTGTAAATTCATGTCATAATCATGTTGGTTAGTGACATTTACATTAAACTAGCATTCACGCACAGCTTAATGAAGGTAAATATATCTGATGTTCGTGCGTGTTCTTGTTTATAATGTGGCTCTTCGCGGTAATAAAGTACGAAATGCGGCTGTTTGGTTCTGAGTGGTTGGCCACCGGTCATAAAGCAATAAGCTAAAAAGAGTTCAGTATATATTTATATATTTCACAACCGTTAGGCCTGCAAGTATTAAGTTGAATCCTTGCCTAATGGAAGAATCGTACACGATAATTTGTTACATTAAATATATATTTTAATTCTTCTCAAACGTTTTTTCAATTAGAATTTTGACGATAGTTTCTATATATGTGATTTCGGCGATCTTGCGAAGAGCCATAAAAGATGGAATGAGTTATTTCCCAACACGTCTCCATTTTATGCAGTGAAAGCCGCTCCATATCCACCAATGATTAGGTGTTTGTCTGCAATGGGTGTTGGATTTGACTGTGCAAGTCAGGTGGGTAATCTAATTGCAGATATGTACTATGTAAAACTTGTAAGTATAATGCTATTCTAAAACCATTACCTTGATATTTATAATCACTATATAGGTGTATGTCAGTACGAGTACATAATATAGTTTAGTATAACCACACGAGGGGTACGAGGAAAGGTCTGCTGGAACGCAGAATCCGAGCGCGGTACAAATATTGATAAGACACTTGTATTCTTGTGATTGCAAAGTCAGATAAGACTTTTCCCATCTAACAATAATAGGACAGGAAAAGTATATATGACTGCTTGAAGTGTATTACCTAAATTATCTTGATTTTATTTCACAAGGAAGAAATTGATTTAGTATTAAACAATGGATCAACTCCGGATTCTATCATTTTTGCCAACCCGACAAAATCAGTCTCACATATTATTCATGCAAGAGAGAAAGGAGTAAAAATGTTGGTATTCGACAGTGAACAGGAACTTCACAAAATCAAGGAACATTTCCCAGATTCAGAGTAGGTTTACATTTTCAGCTTTTATATCAATTTGTATACAATTATAATTGAATAATTAATAATTAAATATAATTTTAAAGATTTTGTTAAAAAATCATAATCAGGTACCGATAAAATCAAGCATTTAGTATTCAAAATATACGCAGGATAGGATGAAAAATGACATAAAAGAAAAATAAAATTTGTCCTTATTTTGAAGGTTTTGTCTTAGAAAATATTTTTGTTCTTATTTCTAAGAAACGTCCTTATTTTAACATGTGTCCTTATTTTTGTCCTTATTTTATGGGTAAATATTTTCATACCAGGCACTGCTTTTTTACGACCTCATTGATTGCTATGCGCGTTCATTACATAATGACAGCAAATTGATTGACACAATGACAAAACAATACCCTTCCGATCAAAATCAGTTCGTGTAACTTGAATCAAAATATAACGTTAATAAAAGTGAGATGGAGCAGATTGTTTCTAAGAATAAAGAACTGCTGGAGCAAATCCTGGTGCACAAAGTATGGTTAGACACTGGTCGCACTGGGATGAATACATTTTGTTTATTACATTTCGTTATTCGTTATTCTATTATTATGTTTCCCTGATGTCCTTATTTTTGAGATCATATCGAAGGCAGGCTTGGCAGCCCTACATATAGATAAAAACATGGGAAGGACGTATCGTGTAAATATATTTTAACAAACGTTAGCTAAAAATCGAGTAACGTGATATTCACTACTACTTTATACGCTGTTGTAATTTCAAGGTTGATTTTACGAATAATGGTCGAAAATCCAATAGCCGAGCTTCCTCTCTTTGGCAAATTTGGTGCAACAATGGAAGAATCTCGACATCTTATCAGCGTTGCACACTTAACCAAGATGAAGATAATAGGAATAAGGTAGTACAACTATCAATTATTTCTTGATATTTGATTATTATAGAAAGTCATCAGAATTGGAATTCGATTAATTTCATTTGTGTTTGAGCTACTAGGCTATCCTATATGTAGCTCAAAGACTTTAACTGTGCTTGGATTAATAATTCACATTAATGTAAATGTAGAACTCAAAAATAAAAATAACTAGCATTCAATTAGTAACAAATTATATGTCGATAGGCCCGATTTTATAGTAATTTTGATATAATTCGTATGCTGCTTGTTATACGTATATTTTTTGGATATTGAAATCCGGTTTCTCGTTTTGATTAACTCTTTAATAGCAATTGCAACGGAAACATCTTCAGATAGTTATGCAAAATAATGTTATAGAATAATAACTCAATGATTACTTCAATTTAGCTTTCATGTTGGTAGTGGATGCCTTGATGCAGATTCATACGATGAAACAATTAAACAAGCAAGAGAACTGTTTGATTACGGAAAAACATTTGAAATGAATTTTGTTATTTTGGATATTGGAGGAGGCTTTCCTGGACTTTTTGGATCCGCTTTGTCCATTGAGAAAGTATACAAATTTAAATTTTACTTCCGCCAAGTTGTTTTTCCATTACTCTTTGTCACTTTTGATGGCTTATATCCTTTGATTTCTCCCTGCTTTTCACTTTTCTTTTGTGGCGCACCTCTCATCTTTTCGCATCACATATCCACGTTTTAATGTTATGTTAATGGTTTGTTTTGTACTAATTCTACAACTCTCCATGTTTGCACGTAAAATACAAAGTGTTTTCAGATAGCGTCGACCGTGAATGCCTCGTTAGAAAAATATTTTCCCTTTGAAATATTTGATAATTTGAGAGTTATAGCGGAGCCGGGAAGATATTATGCCGCAACCGCGTTTGTTTTGGCGACAAAAGTGATAAAAAAACGGGGTAAGTGATTTTATGAAAATATCTATCAGTTAAAAGTCGATTATTTAAATGATCTCCATACCAACCATGCGCAACTTTATCGAATTTGATACCCTAATTAATGCAGAGAATTGAGCACATACTGTCGCAAAGGGACTTAATTTCGAGTTTACATAATGTATATATATATATATATCCTAGAGCACACAAAAAAACCTAATGTGGATGTTGAATACACTATCAATGATGGAATCTTCGGATCTCTGCAGTTTTCGCATGGGAGTTTACCAGGAGAGTTAACTCCTTATGTTCCGGAGGTAGTATATCGTAATATATATTATCCTCATTGTTTGCAGTTATAGTCCGCGATTTCTGAGTACAGATATTTGGCGATTCTTTTTGTCTAAGTAACAAAAATACACGGTATTTTCATCCTAGGAAAAAGCAGACAAGGATCGCCATTATGCTTTGTTGTGGGGTCCAAGTTGCGGCAGTCGCGCTATATCTATGAGGATGTTGGTGCCAAAATTGGACTACGACGACTGGCTATTTTGGAAAGGTAATATACACCACCCGAAAGCGAACTTGCAGACAATAAGATTTTTTGACAAAACGCCATGTTTATTTCTTTATCAAACAGATGCCGGAGCTTATACTTTTGCACGTTCAAGTGGTTTTAACGGATTCAAAACAACAGCATTTTACAACATTGTTTCAACAGAAAATGAGTTAGCACTGATTTTATCCTGAATTCCCTCTTATGTTCAAACTAATATAAAGATTTTATTTTTCACACGAATAGATACTTTGAGGGACAAAGAGCAGTTGATGACAAACAAAAGATCGAACGTTCCACTAGTTTGAACTTATCGCAAATTAATATATGTAACGGTATTTTATTTTAATTCAGGGCGATATTTTGGTCCCTCATGAATGAAAAAGCCGAAACATTATTGAAGAGATAAGAAGATTGTCAAAAGTTGCCATGTGATAAAAAAAAAGAATCAAACAGAATTATATAGTTTATGTTTATATTGTTTAAATAATTTTTATTGTTATGAATTATTATACAATAAAATAGTGTACTGCAAGTGCATGAACTTTTTTCAATTGTTGAAAATTCAAATTCGTCTCCTTTTGAAGACAACTTAGTTCATAACAAATGGAGTAATTTTGTTGTATAGCAGGCAGTAGGCCATTTCTTAATTCTCCCTTTTCACTGTATGGTACTGTAAAAATTTCATTTTGGAATTCTATAGCCATTAAGACATCGGTGTAACGCCAGATAGATTGATGAGATTCCATTTAGACCTAACCTATATCAATTCGTAATACATTGGATCAATTTATCGACAGGCGAACGATTTTTTAATTCCAGAGTCCAAAAAATCTCGACTCAAAAAGAGCCCATTCTATCACATAAAAAAATAAGAAGAAGAAGTAATAATTACTAAGCATTGCTGTATTTTACCGGGATTATATATCACATTCAGTTAATTATATTAAACTGGAAAGCACTAAATTGCTACAGTTTGGGATGCATTTCCAAATGGTCAAATTATTTTATGTAAATTGTGTTTAAATGTGAATGATGTTTAGAGACATGTTGGTTCTGACATTTGAGACTGCTCTTCAACTACCAGACCAATTGCTTTATTGTTAATCTAATTCTTCTCCTGGCCACAAAATGTAAATATATCGTTTTGTTATTAGGTTGTGGTTGCTAGTCATTCATTTATCTTCTTCTCCCTGATGTGAAAAAGTTACTTTATTTATCAACTACCGGACCAATCGCTTTGAAATTTCTAATGGTTGAAGATGTGTGTGATGACGCCATGAAAAGAAAACCTTGCGCACCTTGTGACGGTTCCGCGGTCGCGTTAGGTATTTAACTTTTGACAAATTGCATATTGATGAAAACAAATTAAATAAAACTGGTTATAGAATCGGGAGGGCAAACACACACAATCACCGAGACATGAAAAAAAAGAAAAAAAAATATACCAACAAATGAAATTAACATAAAACGAGTAAAATTTTTGCCACACCAAATTAATAAATGTTATGAGGATTGCCAAATTGGATACCGAATTATAGTCAACAAGAGTTATTTATTGTGGATAGAAAAATATTCCTTGAAATATATCGTCAAGCAGATTATAATTGGAGTCACCTAATGACAAATTGCCCAACCACAATTGCCATGTTGAATGTATGAAGAGGTAGGCTAAACCTGCTTCAATCACCAAATAGAAGCCGAAACTAGCCAAATTAATGTCCAAATTATTCTAAATACTATTAATCAATAAAAGTACCAGTAATATAATTAGGATTATTTATTCAGGCAGTATAATACCGAAAGGTAGGAAAATTGGTTACGGGAATATATAGGTTATTAAAGGTTCTTAGGTTTTTCAAAGTTATGGATTATAGACAAGGAAATTTAATTGAGGTTGTTTATCACTGGATCCAGTTCATATTCATCACGGATGATCCATCAGGCTTCAAGTTTTGTTGATGTATACCCTTTTTATGTTTAAATTAGCTAGTCTTCAAATTGATCATCATTGTGTCCTGAAAACCGAAAAATATTTTTGCGAGTACAATATTCAATGATTGCAAATAAGGAGACAAAAGAAAACCATCCTACAGGAGAAATTGTTGATTTCTGTAAATATCGATCAATATTGATTAACTATCATTAGCTTGCTAGTTGAAAGACCTGAGAAGAAGGAGATTGTGGTTGGGGCAGGTGAGATTGTTGCGATTTCAACAAAATTTGTCTCGTGCAAATCGCAAGGGTTATTAGCGACCTTTCGTACCTCCCTAAAATTTCAAAAAAGGGAGGTGGTGGTTCGAACCCCAGGCTGCGTCGCTGAATGAGAGTAACTGATGATTAGAGAACTTTGAGATTATGACAAAAAGCGCCAGCGAGATGAAATGCTTCGTGATAATTCTGACCTTTCGAGAAAGTGCAATCGCCCCTCTGTCGCCCACTTCGGCTTTTTCATCCACTGATTTATCTCTTTCGCCCCCTAGAGGACCGTATCGCGCACTTTTAAAATCTATCACCGGGTCAGGCGATACCGAGTTCAATTCGTTACAATTGATCGAGTAACTTCGGGTTATTGAAAACGTAAGCGTAAGCGTAAAATAAAATATCAACAATATCTTTGGTACTGATTCTGGGACTCGTTGTCCTTTTATGTTTGTATTTTTTTTTATCAAATGTTTGGGTTAAATAAGATTTCGGAAATATCGTCACTGCGTATCCGGCAATAATTCTGATAAAATTGGGTTAGGGGCATTGCTGCATATTGGTCACGAATCAGTATATATAGGCTTTTCGCCCAGAAATCTTTGTAATGTTACTTCATTAAATATTTGTATTGGTGTTTCAAATTATACGAAACGTCCCACTTAAACTTGTTATTTTCGCAACAGTGGCGCATATTATGCTTATTTAAACATTGTCCACGCCCCGTGTTACCAGATATTCAAATTGTAAACTGCTATTCTAATATTCGACTAGACATTCGAATAATTTGCCATCCCTACTCAGTAACCAGAAAACAGAAATTAAATTGATTGATTTGATGTTAAAATAAACTTGCCTTTTATTTATTATGTAAAATACCTACACCGAAATCAGGACTTAGCTGGTATTAATGTTTGGTACAAACGTTTGCGGCTCGCAACAAATTTCGTCACTTGAAGGTGGGCCGCAAGACGAAAAAGGTTGGGCAGGCCTGTAATAAAGAGTTTAGTCCCCTGAAATCGACCAACTGCAATAACATTCTACCCTGTGGTATACTGCCGAATTTCATCGTTATTGACGCAAAACATCTACCAGAAACAAACAATAATTCCTGGAGGCAAAAATCAAATGAAAAATCTTGATAGGACTAAAACGAAATATGAAATTCGACAAAAACCCATATGCAGAACACAAAATTGAATTCCGTGACAAATTAAGGCTGATCTGCCACCCATCTTCTCACTACCGGCCCAATAATAATACACTCGGCAAAGGACAAAGCGAAGACATTGTTCGCCAATTTAGTTTAATTTAACAGCGGTCTTGATTTGAATCAGTATACATTTGTTGATTTTTCAAAATATGCCGATGTTATTTAATGAAGTTTTGATGATAACAAGCATGGTTTCCCGCGAAAATTGCCAAACAGTTTTATTAAAATTGATCATTAAATGTTTGTGTGATTCTCCTTTCCAGATTGCTAAAATTGAATACTGTTGTTTCCGCTGTTAAACACATCGATTGTCGAATGATCCTAGTGAATATCGTTCTATTAGTCTCTTGTCGATCATGATCAAAGTGTTTGAATCATATATAAACTAAAGAATGGGTCACTTGCTACTAGGGAAATGTGTTATTGAATAATAAACTGTTGCATCACATGTGTGATTCATTGAGTCTACCTCCAAAGAGTTTGTCAGATTTTATTAGCGAGCGAATGCAATCACTATAGCTCAGTTGTTCTTCAATCTTTATTAATTGCGAAATACTTGGGACGGCTAAATTTTTCCACGGCCCTCAGGAACTTTAATGAGAACAATGTGCTTGCATATTCTCGCGTAAAAGACCAAATCCTGGCTCTATTTCGATGATAGTGGCTCTCAGTATTGGTTCCATCTCTTTCAAATTTGATCGATATTTCGTTTTAACATAAGTTAGTTTCTATGCTGCAGCCTAGGGCGATGGAGCATATAATATGAAGATGACAATAAATGCACTATGGGTGAAACTTACTACAAACCACAATACACTTATTATGATTGGAATGAATCTGTTTTTTCATTATAATGAGTATCATTCGTGTTAGCAGTTGTGTGTTACTTATTATTAACCTCATTAATATTTTTGCACGTTTGGGTTACTTGATCATCACTTATCTTAATTTGTATTATCGTTATATTTGTACAGTACAATTGTGATGAATTCAATTTATACAATTTTGCAAATTGTGGGTATATAGAAGAAGGTTTATAGATTAGCAACCGTGCTTTTTTATGTTTGACTTATTTGTATCAATTTTTGGTGTGAAACTGGATTAGTGATTTATATATTTTCAAAACTATAAAAGTGATTTTATAAAAGGGAACTTCAAAAGTGGGGCTAATGATCCAAAATAAAGAATTAGGTGCGATTCGAATCAAATACTCGAAAAGTCCTGATTCGGACCGCAGTCCGACAGTTGAGTGGCCCTGCTTTATATTATATTGATGCTAGTAGTATTCTAATTACGACATCAAAGTAATTGCATGTGTATAATATATTCCTAGAATAAAGAGATCAGGAAGTTGCATCATTCATTACCAGTTATCTTTTCATTTTAAAAATATTTTTCAACTATGAGTAAATATACTACCAGGCATGTAAATATATAAACCATATTTAATTGAATAACCCTTTTTGTAATTCCCCATTCGTGAACAATGAACATTTAACATTATGCATTTAAAGTTTGTTTTATCTGATTACTTTGGAAAAGTATTGTATAGTTGACTTTATCCTGTATTTTTTACGTCTGTTGATGCATAATCAATTCTAATATTTTCAAATCGGTGAAGATGGATCATGTGTTTGTTATAGGACTTGAAAAGTACATATAGAATATTTTGCTTTATTGTTGTTGGCTTGTCGGGTTATTGAGGAAAAATCTATTCTCTTTGCCATGGATGGAACTTAATGGTAGAAGAAAACTATTGCTTTTAATTTATTCTCGATT